ATGATCCATTGATTGTTTCTCGTTGACCGACTTTACCTTTAAAAACCTGTGAATGAATCTGTGCGTTTTATACCCTGAACTCTGACCTGCAGGCACAGACTGACGGTGCAGTTTCCTTCTAGCTTTGTAAACCACTAAGAGCCATTATTCTAATGCTTTATGGCGTCAGCACTTTATTGGAACCTCTTTGTGATGAAGTGCTCTATAAATAAAGTTGACATTTATTTCTGTTGCTTTTTACCACATGAGCTCACGTTTGCTTTTCCGTTTCCAACATGGAGGCTAGGTCTTATTAAGGAGAAGCTTGTGTTTTAATGGACATGATGGTTTCACTGTTGCCTTAAAGAACTTTAATAGACTGAAGGACGGACGCTGACAGGGTCTCTGGGTTTGTCTGAACCTCGGTCTAACTGCAGGCATAACGAGTCTCCTCCATGTCCGACTCTTCTGGGTGGCGGTGAAGAAAGAGACGGCGCCTCCACGCGGTCAGGCGCTCAAACACCTGCAGGTGGAGAGCAGGGTTAAAATAAAAAACATGTTTTTCTCTCTGTGGCACCAAAAGAGGAAGATTGTTGAGATCTGATGGGTTCCTGGAGCAGGTTTGGACTGAAGGGGGACGTCATGCTCACCGTCCTGTTCCTCTGTCCTCTATCGATGGTCTTCTCCTTGTCAGGTAAGGAAAGCCGTCGGTGGAGCTGCAGGTTGTAGAGAAACAAGATGCGCTTCTTCTCCCTCTGAGAGACAGAGACAAGAACAGAGACTGATCTAGATTTCTGTCTTTAGTGTCTCTGAGGTCTTCCTCTCCTCTCTCCCTCCTCTTCCTCACTCTCTATTCCTTTTGTCTTATTGGTTGCTGCTCAACCAGCAACCAACCAGAACCACCACCCGCTGGATCAGTACCTAATGGTTTATTAACAAAAAGTTCAACTGAAGATCCAGTTTTTACTGCAGATGGAGACATGAACAGAAAGTTCTGGTGAAGCGAGACCCAATGGCGGCCCATAAAAAACGTTGGTTACCCAACAGGTTACAGAACATCTGGTGACGCCATGTTAAAGTGACGGTTCATGGAGGGGGGGCTTATCCGTGCGGGACATGACTGG